GGGGCGGAGCCCGGCGGCCGCCCGCCCCGCCGAGGCCACAGAGCGGCGGCGCAGAGCGGCTCTGGAGGCTGAGAGCCGTGCAGCGCGCCCGAGCGGCTCCGCTCCTGCACCTTCTCCGAGCCGCGCCCGCGGCAGCGACGCTCCGTGACGCTGGCCCCGTCCTCCCCAGGCTCCAGCAGGTCTGCAGCCACAGGCTGCGGGAGGTGGGAGAATGGGGCCAAAAAGGCGGGCGAGGCTTTTGCTGCTCCGCCACTCCACGCTCCCGCGAGTCTCACAGCAGTAGTGTGGAGTTGGAGAGTATTGGCACTCAGGGCAGAGCAGGGTGCCCTCGCCAGTGCGAACCTCGTGAGATGTTGTGGGCTGAATACGTGCCTTTGGCTTAGAAGAATGCACTTGTTTGGGTGGTAGTGCTGAACTAACCTTGGATATCATAGAAGAATGCATTTGTATTGGTGCTAGTGCTGAACTAACCTTGGAAATCATAGAATCATAGAATATCCTGAGTTGGAAGGGACACATCAAGATCATCAAAGTCCTATTTCTGCCCGTGCATAGGACAACCCCAATAATCGCAGAGAATGCCTGAGAGTGTTGTCCAAACACTCCTTGAACTCTCTCAGGCTTAGTACAGGGACCACTTCCTGTGAAGCCTGTTTCAGCACCCAACCACCCTCTGGGTGAAAAACCTTTTCCTAATATCCAACCTAAACCTCCCCTGACACAGATTCACAACCATTCCCTCGGGTCCTGTCACTGGTCACCACAGAGAAAAGATCAGTGCCTGCCCCTCTGCTTTCCCTTGTGAGGAAACTGCAGACTGCAATGAGGTCTCTTCATCTTCAGGCTGAACAGACCCAGTGACCTCAGCCTTCCTCTTATGGCTTCCCCTCTAGAACCTTCACCATCTTCGTAGCCCTCCTTTGGGTGCTCTCTAATAGCTTTAATATCTTTCCTATATTGTGGTGACCAAAACTGCACACAGCCCTCGAGGTGAGGCCACACCAGTGCAGAGTAGAATGGGACAATCACGCCCCTCAACCAAGCTGGTGATGCTGTGCCTGATACACCCCAGGACACAGTTGGCCTATACCTGGTGCAGTCTGGAGAAAGAGCCTCTAATCAGTGCCTGTGCCCTCAGCCAGAACCCAGCTTGCTGTGGGGTAAGATGCTGCTCGTTATACAAAGTGTCTGCTGGTGATACAAGACGTGAGTAAAGAAACACAACCCCCGCAGGATTCTTTAATTGTGCATCCAGACACCCCTCTGTGTTGCCTCACAGCTAGACAGGGGTCTGTGGGAATAAGGGGATGATGTGAGGCTTCCAGTTGCCTTTAGGTCTCCAGCCAGCCTTTCCCCGTTCCTGGGCTGCTCGCCGTGTTCCACCGCCCCTCTCCACACGAGGGAGCGCTCACAAAACGTTCGTACTGACTTCCTAACCTCCCTGAAAATCCAGCCAGCGATTTGAGAGGATCCGCAAAACCAAAATGCCAGTTAGAAATACTAGAATACTTAGAATGCTTCTAAGAAATGGCACCATGAACATGATTCCACAAAGGCAGCCCTGCAGCCTTCTCTGTTCTGGGCCCATCAAGGGAACACCTCCTTGCAACCCCTAGATGTGCGTGCCTGACAGTCAGCTTCCAAGCCAAGAGATGCCAAATAGTAGCATTTTATTTCTTTTCCCCTTTCCTCGTCCCTTCTTCCATGATTGGTTTGGCAGATCCTGTAAGTCCCTGGCTAGTTTGTGCAGTGAAAAAATGTGCATGTGCCAGGGCAGGTGGCAGCCCAGATGAACTGAGGTGAGGCTGTGGCAACTCTGACTTCTGGACGCTGGCTTTGAATTTATTGACTCCTTTTGCCTGAGACACAAGGAAAGGATCTCCCACCTGAACAAGCCCAGCACTTGTGGCTGAGGGACCCCCAGGGCCCCTCACAGAGGGATGCTCATGGCAGCCAGGCCCTGATGTGGTCACTAAGACGGCTCCTGGGTCTCATATATGCAACCCCACTGCAGCAGTGGAGATGTGTGCAAGTGGCAGCCACTGCCTTAAATCAGGGTTTCTTCTGTTGCACTGTCATGACTGGGCCAGGCCTGAAACAACACTGGCAAGAGCCGGGCTGGGTTTGGCTGCCAGTAACCCCAGCATGGGTCAAATCTGAAGCAACAACAAGAATGTGCTGCCCTACTCCTATTGCAGCTCCAACCACAGTGACATATGGAGCACTTCCCTGCCAGGTTTAGCACAGGCAGCTAAGAGACAAGTGACTACCTACTCCAAGGATTGTCCCCAGGATTGCCTTGCCACCAGGAACTGAACCTGGGCAGTCACTGTCATCCACCAGTGTGTGCACCTCCACAGTTACTTCCCAGCACATGAAAAAGTGCCTTGGGCCAGCAGCTGTTCCCTTGGTTCCCCCTTCATAGCGTGTGGTGTGGTGAGAGCTGGGAGCCTACAAGGCACTACCAGGAGAGTTGTCCACACTCTGCACAGGGCTGGAAATATAGTGTCTCCCCTTGTAGCAGTTGTGGCGGTGACATGCTTGCTCTCACAGCGCTGCACTGGACCCAGCACAAGGCGAAGAGCCAGGCCATCTGCACGCAGGCAGAGCAAAAAAAAAAAAAAAAAAAAAAGATTGCAAGCATCCAGTGCCAGCATGGCACAGCCCAAATAAAAGGTTTGCAGATGCTGCTCAGGCAGGATTAGGCCTCCAATGTGTTAAGTCTCGGCTCTCGGTGAGCCTAATTGCTGCTGCAATAAGCCCTGGCTGGTCCTCTCCTGAACCGTGCTCCCCACAGCCCCCCCAGCAAACATTTTTTTTGCTGCGAAGCAAAAGCTTGTGTTTGCCATGCATATGTTACCCCTGGTAAGGTCTGGCCAAGCAGTGGAGGTGAAAGGCAGGAAATCTGCACATGCCACTTATTGCTCTGCTCTTCCCAGCAATTGTCCCTCCACTCTCCCCCTGTGCAGCACAGCTTGTGTGCAGGGAGCCAGGCCCAGCAGCAGAGGCAGGAACAGGTGACAGCATCATTACATGGCCACACACCCCGAGCTGTATTAGGAAACTTTCCAAATTGGAATTACTCAGATTTTAATAAAACCTTTTGATAATTTTCCGTTATGTTTTGGCTGGCAGATGAAACTGGAGGTGTTCCAGGAGAGCTGTCATGGCATGTGCACGGGCCAGTTCAGTAACTGCCACAAGATGTGCCAAAGGAAGGTATAAATTGCAATGCAGAGAATGAAAACCAAAGATACACCACAATTTTATTTATGGATGTGTAATAAATAAATGGTGGACAATACAGGAAGAGCCACATTCAAAAATCCAGATCACTAAAGTGCTTTTAGACACAAATATGGGGCGACCAAGAAACAGCTCTGACATTAACATTTTTTACAGACAATTACAAAATATCTTCTTCTGACAATTCACAAAATTGTTTAATTGCTCTGGGGTACTATGGCTTGCTTTTCAAAAAGGTCTGTTTTATTATGCATAGTGTTGCAGGTAACATTCAAGAGTGTACAAAATCATTGCATAAACAAAAACGTCTTTACCCCCTTCTCCCAAATGTGAGTTAAGGAAGCTACACAGTGTAAATCCAGTGATAAGGCTGCATTGGCAGGCCAGATCCTCAGGAAGTATAAACCTGAGTGTTTATACATCCTCAGGTTACACCAGCTTGAGGATGAACCCTACAGTGTTTAAAAACCCTGCTTATCCTCGAGGTGGAAGAATTGCGTGTTCAACGTGGAAGGACTGGCACATGGGTGCTGTGCTTGGAGAAGACGTCTGTAAACTCCTGCACCATCTTTGCACCTGCGTGTTGGAGGGAGTGACTCCCATTGCGTTGCTCCTCTTTGTGCTCCTGGCTAGCTGGGGAAGTGGTCACAGCCCAGAAGGAAAGAGTAGCTCTTCTCCAGCAGCAGTCCGTGCTGACCACAATGCAGTCCCATTTTCGCACTGCTCTTGGCCCTGCTGGGACACTTCTCCCACCCTCCACCCTGGCTCTGCTGAGAAGTGAACAGCTTTAAAGTGAGGGGACAAGGGGACGTGTGTGCTCAGTTTTAAAATGCCCTGAATTCAGATAGAAGTTCCATTATTTAAGAAAAAATATATATATCAATAAATGAATAAATATTATTATCTTGCCAGGACTCTGTGAGGTCTGGCCTCCTGCAGGGCAGCCCAAGCTCAGTGGTCCCTGTCATTCTGCTCTGGGGGGGGTGTCCCGTTGATGCACTGCCTCAGTACACCCCTCTTCTCGTGCTTGGCTGTCCTGGAGAGGTCGATGGCTGTGTCCTCTGAGTCTTTTGCAGGGCCAAGCTTGTCGGAGCCCCTCTGGGAACTGGCCTGCTTCTCTTTGAGTTCCTCCTCCTCCTGCTCCGTTCGCCAGCCATCTGCCAGCTTCTCTTGGCTCTCTGCCTTCCTGCTTACCTCCATGGATTTTTTGTGCATGCCTTGCAGAGGGGAGAGAGCAAAGGCAAGGGTGCTGGGGTTGCTTATTTCTGCCTGGGACTGCTCATCATCACGTCCTGCACTCCTGCCGCTTCCTTAAGTTCTCGTTTGCATCCTAGGGAAAACTCTCTCTAGCTACCAGCCTTTCCTGACCCAGAGCCCTGCCACCTGCTCTCTGCAGCCCGAGAGAATGGCTTGTGGCAAAATTAGGCCATACCTCCCCTTGCAGTACAAGGAGAGGGGTGGTGTAATGGCTCATCCCTGGTTTTGACTGTGTATGAGCAGAGGGTAGCTCTAAGGTAGCATTAATGTTATCTTCAGCTTGGGGCGGAATGATGACTTCTTAGACACCTTGCAACTCCCATGCTGCCTGCTAGGACTACAAAGCGATACCTAGCCACATGCAGGCACCCGTCTGACACATCAGTAAAAGGTTTTCCTAGCTGTTCTGTGCAAGGAGGGAGTGGAAAATCCAGGACACTTGGCAGCATACAGCTCAGGGTCAAGACCCTGTTCTTTTCTGGGAAAAGGCAAAGACAGCCATATGAAAGAAGAAGGGCCGTTCACTCCACAGCTGCACCCTGACCCCCTCAGCCCCAAGGTCCCACTCACCCAGCAGCCATGGGGCGCAGGATCCAACCAGCCCACTCTTGGCGGAGTTGATGATAGACTCAGGCAGAGGGATGGAATGCCTCACCATGGCCCCGTAGAGGCCGTACTCGGCCATCACGCTGCTCCGGCCCCAGCACTTCTCCCGCTTCCGCCACTTGGCTCTTCGGTTCTGAAACCAAACCTTCAGGGGTAATAGCCAGGAGAGCACGGAGGGGTGGGATTGGGGAGGAGACAGTCCCCGTGGCCAGGTGTCCAGGGCCCAGTGGACACAGGGGAATGTGCATCCAGGGCAAAAGGGGAGCCGTGGAGGTGCATGGAGGGGTTTGGGTGTGTGAATGCGGACACACAGGCGGCACCGGGAGGGCAGCCAGGGTGGTGTAGGGGGAAGGGTGCAAGGGAGGGCACACACGTGGGTGTCAGAGAGGGGAGGAAGGGGAGGAGAAGGAGCACATGTTAACACTAGGCTGATCACGACACAGGAGGGTGATTCCAGCCAAAGTCACCCTACACTGTGCCTACCCGCAGGGCCTCTGCCTCATCCATGGAGCACCAACCTCTTCAGGAAAAGGGCTCCATAATGTAGTGACCAGTGATGACAGAGGGTGCTCAGATCCCTCTCCGTACCCCATTCCTGTGTTTGAAGGCTTGAGGGGTGCAGATATAACTGGGCTGCTGCCCAGACCACCATCCCATTCTTAAGCCAATGAGCTGCTCCACAGTGGAGCAGGATCAGGCCCTGAAATGCCATATGTCCCTCAAAGGGACAAGCTAGTGAGCAAGCTAGTGGGACACAGCTTGGCCCAGCAGCTCCTGAATTGCTCTCAGCTCCTGC